GGTAAAATAATGTATAATATCGGCTGAAATTAATAATTTGCAATTTGCATGTTAATTTATTTAAAAGAAATTACTCTGAAACGTGGAAATCCTCACTATTGCATGTATATTTAAAATTAAAATTTTTAATATGTTATATGCTGATCATGGAGAATAAATTATGCTTTATATATTATCTAAAATAATACTTTATAATATATTTAAAGATGGAAAATATCAAATCTATAATACTTTATAATATATCTAAAGATGGAAAATATATTCGCACAAATACAAAACTGATTAATTATTCTTAAACTTCACTTATTGTGAAATAGTACTTATACAGTAGATATTTGTTTTCTTTATTCCTTATTGTGTTATTTGCTATAATATGTTTATTAAAAATATCTTGGAGTAAAGAAATAAATATAATAGATGAATCCATGTCGTGCCAATCTTTTTCGTTTTCGTCAGTTTATTTGTGGTGGTCCCGCACACGCTTTTGCAGCTCGTCAACTCCATTCTTTTTGCTTCCTCGAGCAATTTCTCCTTCTTATATCGAGTTTTCTCTATACATTACACCTTCTGCGGTAGTTTTACCTACCGCCGCGCCTATTTTGCCGCGTGTTCAGCAACATTGGCAACATCAGTTTTTCCGTATTTCAAAGAAAAATCCTTCTTTTAGATGACAGTTAGTGTATCACCTTTACTTAAGCTACATTTAACATATTGGTATATACCTAAGGGATAAACATTGAATCAACTTTTGACCATTATCGGGAAAAGTTCGGGACTTAAAGAGTGATTTTTTCACAATACGGTATTGCACAGCCTTAAAGTTTTCCAAAGCCATGTGCGCGATATTTTTCAATATATTCTCGAATCAACTTTTTCATTGGTAAAAATTTTAATTGAGTTCTATTAAATGCTATATTTTTTCTAATAATAACTTTTAACATAAAATTTTATAAAAAATTTTAAACATTTTTTCTAATCTAACAATTTTTTAAAATTAAATTTATTTGAAAGAAGTGATATACCGGATGATGTCTAATAGAAATTTTTATAAATAAGGATTAATAATTTCAAATTTGGCAGAGAACGTGATGTAATTAAAGGAAATGCAAAACGAATGACTCCTTATGTATAATAGAATGATAAAATTGATAACATACCTACCGATAGTACGTGTATATAATCAGCATATAATACGTTTGCATTATAAGAATATAGAATCTATGATTAAACTGATTATTAGGTATATATTCGTGTCCGTGCCCGCGCGCTTATCATTGCTCAGGCATCGTTAAATATTCTCGGGTGCGGTGAATGGCTTTGAATAGCAACGAAGTGACTGGCCGCATAGACGGAACTAATTTTCAGAATAACGTTTCCAGGTAATGCATATATCTGACACTATGCCTATGTCAATCGATTTATTTCGTGCAATTGCAATTAATTAATTCACACATCTATTAGACGTGCGTGCGTGTGTGTATGCGCGCGCGTGGTCATTAGAAATTTACTTAAACTTAAATTAAATTTACATTTATTATAATCAAATAAACAACTCTCCTCCCCCCTTCTCCTCTCTCTCTCTCTCTCTCTCTCTCTCTCTCTCTCTCTCTCTCTCTCTAACAAAATAGATTATTTAACTTACAATTTTGAATAACTAAATTTTTTCCGTATTCTATTTACGAAAATTTAATTATAGGTTGTTTATCAAATTCAATCAGAATTAATTCATATTGGTCGCGTTTCTTATTGCCTGACGTGGCTGACGCCCTATAACTTAATTGCCTATCATTATACAGTTGGTGTTAACCGCCCAAGGTAATGGGCCGTGCATGGCATATTTGGTGCATTAAAAAAATATTACACGTTACCAGATTATTTATTTACGAATGCCTTGGACAACGAATTGGCCTTGCAGACTACAAAGAGTATCCGCATGATAATATCGCGTAACAATACCACGTTTAAGTATAATCGAAGGATTTCAAGTGAAAGTATTTCCTTAACGTGAGAAAGGTTGCGACCCGAGAAAAATCAACCTTTTATCCGGGATCAAATCTAATCTCATTAATGAAACTTAAACAATTTCGACTTAAATGGAGAATAAACAACAGCTATATATGTGCTGCATTGTAATTTGCAATCTTCTTTCTTCCTTCTTATTAGTTTTCTTATTTCTTTTTAGTTTATTAATGACTATTGAAATTACTGTTATTACATTTTACAGATGTGCGTGCGTATTTTTAGAAATTATAAATACAATGGAATAAATTATTGGATCCGCCAGTGCGTAGATATAATAATCGAGATTAAGCGACCCAACTGGCCAATTTCTATTTATTCATTCGTCTCACAACGTTTCGACCCCGATTGGGTCCTTCTCAAGTGAGATTATACATAATTACGCAATAATATCATGTGTCGCAAGACGTTGCGCCCAAACCACATCATGCAAACGCCACGCTAGAACGAACAAATTGTCAATATAAGTATGTCAAATATAAATTATAAAAAAGTGGGAGACATATCGCAAGTACATCGTGAGAACTTACATATTAAGTGCGTCAAAAGAACAAAATAACAAATTTCCGAGAGCCGCCACGCAAATTCCGAAGGAAAATGGACTGTCCATTTTCTCCACTGGCTCGATTCCGTGCCATATTCAAAATTATAAATGATTGTTTAAATATTGACAACAATATCGAATTTGTCGTAATAACAGCTACACACATTGCATGTGTGTTGTATTACATTTACATATTGTTGAGTAGTAAATTATAACTTGCATGTAAGTTGCATGTTAATTGGTGTTTGCTGGTTTAGCTTTCGATAACATCTTGCGATTAAATCTCATGAGACAACGCAGTAAGAATGTCTGCAAGGCTTCTGTTCACTCACTGCAGCTATTTTGGATTGATGACGTCAGAAATGAGAAAATATATCATGAAAATTCTTGCAACGTACATTAAAATAAGGCTGTTTTTCAATAAAATAGCATTTGTAATCTAGAATAGATAGAATAGACTTGTAAAATATGCCGAAAATTTCTCTTTTGTTTGGATAATTTCTAAATAACTCGTATATGTCGAATTGAATTGTATCTAATCAAGGATGAAAACAAGGTGCCAAATTAAAATAAATATTTGCTTTGATTTTTTAAAGTATAACAAAATGGGAGTCTTTGGTATATTTTAACATTATAACAATTATTTTAAATATAAAAACACTACATTGAAAGGAAAAATGGCGCTGTACTTAGATTTATTTATTTATTTAAAATGGCGCTGTACGTTGCAAGAATAATTTAGCTTGTTAACGTCATTTTTCACGCCTTGTAGTTCACAATTTTGCCAAGAGGAACTCTATGTCAACGTGGACTTGGCAATCGAGTCAGTAGAAGCCTTATCTTAAGAGAAGCTTTTTGCCTTCAAATCCTAAAACAGTTTTAAAAAGTTGACGTATTTAATTGTCTATGTAGTATACCAATCTTCTTGGATATAATAAAAATACGAATTAACGAGCGACCGATATGACGGCCGAGTTATGAAAAAACTAAATAATAAATCAAGGATTTACAAATCAAGGATTCAAAGAGAAAGTCTTTTTGCCATGCGTGAGAAAAATTGCGTAATTAAAAAAATATAACTCGTTATCGAGATCAAAGTACGAGCATCGATAATTCAAGTACATTTTCTTTCCTGCACTTATTTTCAAATTAGATAACGAGTACGCAACTCCATTGCGTTCGTGACACATTACAACATGCGAACAAAGGTACGGACGGGATGTATTTGCGGCGTTCTAGAAAGGCAAGCGATAACCGAAGCGTGACGCCCGCTTCAGTTTGTGAACTACATATTGTGTATCATGATTTCAATGTAAATGTCAGCATGTATACAATATTACATAATTTTGTAATAAAAATTATAGTGTATTGACATTTTTTTCCATTGAATAATTCTACTTTAGCACTATATATCTGACTGGCTGTTTTTCATCGAGACACAATTCGATCCTCATATAGACGGTTTTAACTTTCTGCGCGGCGACGACTTCTTCGGCGATGTCACTGGTTTTGTTAATTTTGTGTGTTTGGTTTGGCATTTAATTATAATATCATCATTAACGTACGCGTTCACTGAATTTATAGTTATTTACGAATATACATGAGAAATATTATTGTATTTTGATTTGAAATATATAATATTTATCTGCCGCAAAAAAAGTTCTTTTTTCCACAAATTATATATGTATAAACTTCCGCACAGATAATTAACTCTGCGCGGAATTAACACTCCGTGTTTTTGGAGTACCTACTCACCCGGACACCTCCCTCTGGTTTAAGTCTAAAGGGTTTTTGAAAGCGCGTTTTTGTGATACAAAAAATCTATAAAAATTCATCTATCATTTTTAAGGTTTCAAAAAGTGATTTCTATACTTACATAGGCCGGCCACTGTTGCAATTCGCTTCGCAAGCGCTGAAGCTGAAGCTATTGGGAATCATATAAATGAAAACTCGACTGTGCCCACGGACCCATGGTCCATGGTGTCCGCGCAGTGTTAAAAATGTCATGATATTTACATTCGCTATGTCGCATGAATTGCGAGTATTATATACTATCACAATGTATTTACGTGTAAATATTTATTAATGGAATTGCTAATTAAGGAATTTGCACCTTACGAAGTATATTCTGTATCCTCAAAACATACGCGGGATGGGGGAGGGGGAAGTACTTATCAAGAATATTAAATAAAGAACGAAAGCAGAGAGATTAATCAGATTACTCTTATATTACATATATATATTGGCAATATCACATATTGTTGGCGTATTACTATTATTATTTTTGAAAACGTACGAAGAATTTTGTATCAATCTTTGCTCAGTTAACGGCTTCATTAGTTAATTTTTACTTTTAATCTCGCGAGAGAACAATTGATATATGATTTGATAATCTCGATGTGCGACGTGGCGCGTGTATCTCAAGAGAATACTCGCGCTACACCTGACCTAAACGCGTCGCACGCATCTTTCTGAGATGTGCCAATCTTCTTTTGTTCCTAGCGGCATTCGCCTTCGCCTCGTGTGCAGCAGCGTTGGCTTTGGCAGCTGCGCGATTCGTGTTCGCGAGATCTTGCCGAGCGCTTTGCAATTGATTCGATAGCTCGTCCACTCGTCTCTTGGCCGCTTCTAGCAGTTCCTCTTTCTCTCGCAGCGATCTCTGTGCTCCGCTAGCGACCGCCTGCGCGTTCGCCGCATTTGATTTGGCTGTACGTACTGCATTCGTCAATGTCTTCAGCTGCATTTTCAGAAAATTGTTAGCGCTTCAAGCTGCACCAGATCAACGTTTTATAGAATTGAGCATAATTGTGCATAATAAATTTCTTTACAATAATGAAGGGTTTGACACGATGCTTGTTAACATAACAATTAAACTGATTATTAAGATCGCAATTTAATCACATTCGAGTTAATGGTTCTCAGCTGTGGCAGAAGGTCACATTAAATTGTAAAACCGGGTAGCAATTGACGCGTAGTTCGAAATATAGCGGTAATATTTATAATACACAAACTAATATTAGGCCGACGATCTGCCGATGATGACCGATATAGTCAGTTGTACGTGTATATGTGTATACTAGTTTCCATCAGTTTCACGTAATTGTAAGTGTTAATCAACGATAGGTGAAGAACTAAGAAGAGAATATAAAGAAATTAAGGAAATTAAGGGAGGAAAAAATGAACAACTACACAAGTCCAATGTCAAAGTGTAAAGCCGCAAAAAGTGTTTAAATATAAATAATAGATCCATAAATCAAGGCTTACAATTAAATCGTATGTGATCTAACTAAACAATGTAAAAGTTAGGATAAAGTGCAAAATGTCACCGTTTATCCTGCCGATGTTACATAGATATTATTCGCATTTAACTCGTATTGTGACCTGTATTTTGTATGTCTTGTTTTTTACCTATCGTATACCTGATCTTGTGATTGCCGTGCCGCTTGAACCGCAGCGTTCACGTTAACCTGCGCTTGTTGCAGAGAAGATGTTTCTTCTCGAACTACCGATCGTGCCTCCTTCACTTCCTCTTGCAGTTGTTCGACCATCGCTTCCTTACCCGATAAGGCCACCTCAGCAGCTTTCGCAGCTTGAACCGCCTTCTCCGCCAGTTGAGCCTTCACCTATTACGTGTATATACACACATATAATATATTTATATACACGTAGCGCATTTCTTTAACAAAATACCAATCTTAACACACGTGCACAAATGTAATTAACAAACGCTCGCGCAAATCGCTCGCATACCGCTAATTCCACGACAATTTTACGCGTTTTAAGTTTTATCAGATAATATCCGTACACGCACGTACGCACGCACGCACACAGATGCAGATCTGACAAATATTAAACGAACGGAATTAAACGAAAAAGAAAATTTGAAAAAGTAAGATTAATTCTCTTAGTTTTCTTAATTTTTTAATAAATTGTCTCGTATCTGGGAAATATCACAGGAGCAAAATGCATTGTGAATGAAATATTTTCGAGACGTCACCACTGTCGTTCGACATCTTAGCAAAACATCTTTTTGAATAATGACATATATAATAAAATTAGGTACTTGACGCGCTGCTTGCTGACCAGCGATATTCTGCGCTTCGGACGCGGCCTTTGCTTCCTGCGCTGCTTTCTGCGCGATATTGCTTGTTTTTTCAACAGTTTTCTTCTGTAAAGTATTCGGTAAACTGTCATGACAGTTTGTGCCTTCAGCATGACGCGTGTCTCTTTGATTCTATAATTTTTTCGAAAAACAATACTATCATAATCGACGTGTCTTCTGTATCAGTATTTTAACAATAAATGCTTGTATTAAAATATTAATTGTAATTTTCATTCGAGTTTCGATATTAATTATTCTGCTATCGTTATTATTATTATTATTATCATCATCATCATCATCATCATCATCTATTATTATTATTATCATTATCATTATCATTGAAATAGAAAATAAATAGAAAATAAAAAGAATAAGAGAGAGAGAGAGAGAGAGGGAGAGGGAGGACACAGTTCAACAGTATGTAGTTTACACAGTTCAATGATATGTATCATTTTTAATCAAGAAACAGAAATATCAAGACTCAATTATCAATTGTATATTCCCATAACATCAAATGCAATGATAGAGCATCAATAATATTACGATGTTATTGAAAAGTTGAAATTATTCAAATCTGATTGATGTTATATAGAATTATATAATATTATATAGAAACTTTTAACAAATAAAAAAATGTATTAACTTACCGCACTAATCGAGGCTTTATGAATCCGTCCACAATCGGATATTGCGAACATCACTATGACTGGAAAACGGCATTTTGGTTAGAATAGAAATGTCAATTGTTCAGTGTAAAATGATGTCAATAATTAGTTATATAGCTCGCACTCACTGATGTAAAGGACATGAGAAATATTCATTATAATGAGTAAATGCACGTCGTACTCATCAAAAAATCATTTTAAAATGCGACATAAAGTCGCACCATATGTTTTGATTTGATGACGAAAACGGATAAACGATTAGCGCTTTTTTTTCGATAATTTGATGATATTGTTATGTGAAGTTATATATGTTATATTCTTAGTGTTTTTATATGTATGTATGTACATACATACATACATACTTGATAGAAGTAAACACTCAAAAATAAAATTTAATACAATTTTAAAATGTCTCAAAAATTATATGTATTTTTTCCAAAGTATCATCGCGTACTTGGCCGATATTTTTGAGCGTTTACTTCTATCAAGTATTTTTGAAAGAGAAAATTCGCATAATTTGTACTCTTTTTACACTTTTATGTAATCAACACTTCCTTAATCCCACAAGGAATCGCGCAGATAGAAATCGATATCTAACCACGCAATCTATTTTCTACAAATAAGCTACAATAATGTTTCGCAATTGTAGAAAATCATAAGAAGTCTAAATTTCAATGAATTCTTCAGAAACGCACACATATATACATAAATTCGCGCGCGTGATTTATGATGTTTTTATTGATTGCAAGGAATTGTATGCATAAATATGTATGCGTCTTGGGAGAACGGAAAAATGAAGGTATAAAAATATCTTTTTTTTCAATAATTTTATTTAAATAATGTCAATATACGTCAATCAATTAAATCTCTTTTTTAGATAAAACTTTAAACAAAATAACATTAAAATATCATTCCTATTCACCAATTTGTTATGTGGATCCTAAATAACATATTAATATGATATCAAACTTGTTTTTTTAATTGTATTGAATGTAGTCTTTTACTCTAAGCATACAGTGTAATATTCGTCATGATAATAAACAAAAATTAATTAATTGGAAATTGAAGTTTTTTTCTCTTGGATCAATGAAGGAATGAGAGAGAGAGAGAGAGAGAGAGAGAAATATGAAGAATGTAACATAATAGGCGGAAACAAATATTAACAGGGCGCTATTTTGAACGTCTGCAATCCCTTCCGTGACTATAGATTAGCTGGATTAGCTTCAGACAGGAGCTATAAGAGCTCCGATGAACGAGTAACTGGTATCAGTTCTCAACTCCTTCTTCGAGCAAGGACAGCTCCTATTCTCTAAACGCTTGACTGGCACGACTGTCAAGAGTAAGTATAGAAATTCTCTTCACTATTACTCTCAAGAAATCTCTTTCTGCGTTTGCTCGAAAATAACATAAAACTCGAAATAAATATTATTGCAAAAGTAATTTTTTAAAAATTCATAGTATCACATACAGTCTTTTCTTAATTTTTAAATATAATAAATAATGTATATTTTTTATATGTTTATAATAAAGGTTTATTTTAAATTCCTTTCGTAATCAAGGAGATACTTTCTCAGACTTGCTTGTATAATCAAAATACGTATGCACAGACTGTTTAATACAGACAATTATAATGTATTCCGCGTGTTCGCACATAGCATATTTTAGCTATCTGTATGAAAAATGTTTTCTTTCACCTTCTTCGTGCCATAAGCTACATTCCGTCTCTAATTCAGTTCGAGAAATGTATAGTAAATTTTAGCATATCTCTTTAAATTTTGATAAAAAATATTTTTGTCACGTAATTGACACTTTCTTCTTTCATTTTCCTACATTAACGTTCGTTTTCTTACGTTTCTTACATTTTCTCTAAATTTTCTTCTCTTTTTTATATCTTTAATTAGAATTAATCTTGCAAAATTGCCTTTTATCCGATAAATTACAAAACATGATTTCTTTATATATTTTTGAAATTTTTATGATGTATTTATATATCAATTATTATTAACTAGGCGAGCAAGCAGCTCAATTAACCAAATATATTATTATACGCAGCTAGATAGTTATAAATTGTGGACATGATAAAAAAAGTTGATCTATGTTCATCTTTACTAGCTGCATTGAGAGGAGAAGGAGTGCTCGCGTTATTAGTTTTCAATTTTCTTCGGTAATTATATTGTCTGTAATAATTTACACGTTTTGTTACAAAATTAAATCAAATATTCTTTTTCTTCCTTTCTTTATCCGAAATAATTTTCGAATTGTTAGGACAAGACAGTTTCTAGGTCGATTGTATGCATTATTGACGTCGTTTGTTTTTTCTCGTATTCAACTTTTCATACAAACAACTCATACCAATGTAATTATTGTTGTATTAATCATTAATGTAATAAATAAGACTATCAATAATAAATCTGTTACTAATGATTAATTATTTAATTATATTTAGAAGAGGATTCAATTATAATGCCAAATTTTTTATTTAATTTTTTACGTAATTATTTTATCCTTTCATTATTTTAACAGATAAAATGTTACTCTGTAGATTAAATAAAAGAACTATAAAATAACACACACACACACACACACACACACACACACACACACACACACACA